GGGGTCCAGTTACTTTTCTTTCTAAATGTGGGTTGGTCGCATCTTATATTTTCCTTTGATTTGCTTGGTGGTTGCAAGGCAAAATGGGCTTTGAGTCTTAGTCGGCGGATGAATTCTTCGGTGTCATTCTTAAGCTTCCCTCTGTCGTATGTTTTAGGACGGGGACAGAAACTCAAATATTTCGATAAAAGTTTTATTTCTGCATCAGTAAGTTCTAAATTGGAGATGTTGACTACTGTGTTAGTAACAGTTGCATTAGTGTTTGTTACAGAGTGCTTGCGATTCTTCCTTTTGCGGCGATTTTTCTTCTTACGGTTGTTTTTGGAAGAAATTTCGTCAATTGAAGTTTCTTCACAACAGTCCATTGGTTGTAGATCATGACTTCTAAATTTTCTCTCTCTGACTTTGTATAGTTTCGAAGAGAGTCTTTTTTCATCTGTATTTAATTTGGAGTAAAACGTTTTCAATTGTTCTTCTGTTGAGACGGAATTGAGCTGATGTTTTAGTTCTTAGTTTTAGTATGTTACTATATATATATATATATATATATATATATATATATATATATATATATATATATATATATATATATATATATATATATATATATATTAATTTATTTATTTATTATAATACCATACGTGCGCTATATTTGATATACCACTCTATGTATAATGCTTTCGTGCAAATAAAACTTATCAAACCTAGCTTACTATTAAGAAAAAGTACATTTCGTGATATATAAATTAGACAACATACACATGACACATAGCTGCCTCTGTAGGTGATGACCAGGTAGGTAACCGCCTATGTTGGTATATAAGTAGCTTGCACAATCACGCAGCCTCTTTATACATGCTACTTAGAATATATACTATGTGCATCAAAGTTTTAGTCATGAATACATGGATAACTAGTTGAATATTGGCTGCTGGGATCATATTTCACTGACTCAATCATATCGTTTCAGATAATCCAATTTGTTACAAGACATCAACTATCTACTCTTTCGCCATATCACTCCCACTGTGCTTATATAGGAAATGAAATGGGACAGGAAGTCATCAGAAAGATCGATCTTTTTCGTATCCACTGGGTTGTTGCTTCATCAGATACGGGTACACGATTTTCCGATTATAACAAAAAGATTTATTGCATAATGGTGCAAATAACCGTCAAATAAAATCAGGCACATAACCTGCTTTCATACTAGATAACAATAGAGTAGATATGGAATCAAAAAATGGGCATGCACAGCAACCAATTTAAAAGGAGAGTAAAATCCAAGCAAATGACAATATCCAAACTAAAATGATATGCACAATATTCAAGCAATATAGTAACTGTGACTAGAATTCATAGCATCACAAAAATTTAATCAAACTTAAAAATATAGTTTTCTTTAAATTAACCTAATATTGGGATTAAATGTTGCTTCAAGTATATAATTTGTTTCAAATTCTTGATTTAAAACGAATAAGTTATTGTTTGCTACATGCCATGATAATTAGCTGTGTTGTGTGAAACAACCTATAATATCATGGTGTTAACAGGCGACGCTGAAATTACAAAAGCAGCTACTGATAGTCAGACATTTTCGTTTACTTTTCTCACTCTAAGGTATTCTTTACAAGATAATTTTAGTCACTCAGTGCAAGCAATAAACCTTGCTTTCATGAGAGTTGTTGATTATACCACATGTACTTCTAAACTTTGTTCTTGTACCGACTTACTTCATCTTTATCGGTACGCGGTACCCGTAGTTTTGCAACCCAAGCTTAAAAGAGGAATGCTTATTGTTATCACACAGGGAAGTTAACAGTGATTGGAAAATAGCATAAGAGGTGTTTAAAGGTCGAAACTAATCATAGGCGAGAAAGATGTACTCCATATTAATTAATCAATTGACGACCTTATTTGAAGTTATTACACCGTAATTTATGCGTGTTTGATTTATTACGGTTGCTTGTAGGCCAATTATAGTTATGAAATCCAAGTGGTACATATTTGCATAAAGCGATATAACTAGTCGTCAATGCCTGCGTTACTTGATGTGCCTGACAAACATAATAACTGTCAAATGCGATTATATTGAAAAGTATGGGAAGTTAGCTGTGGTGGTGTTCAGGAAAGGCATATCAACGTCAAATGCAATGGTAATATATATTGTATGGACTGCTGCTAGTGTCTTAGTTAAGTGCGATTCATTCACTGTACTGATGTCGATATTTGACTGGTCCAAATTGATGATTTTATATACGTCAAAACAAAACTGTTTATTCAGGATTATTTTCAAATTATTTTATACCGACACCAATTAGAGTTTGCTGCACAAAGCCACCTATGATGTTTATTTGAATATTGCGTCAAGGCCTCTGGTCAACAAATTTGACAAAAATCCAATAGTGGTTATGTGAAATAAATAGGTTGATCAAAATTAAAGATGAATGCTCCACTAAACTATTAGAAAAATATGTAGGACTTAATCCCAAATATGTTCTTAATTGTAATGAAAATGAACAATATTACAAAAGGCAAAATGTCCTTAATGGGATACGCTGTGCCGGAAAATCTCAAATTTTTTTGTTATGTGGAATGACCTGGAACCCGATGCAAATTTACAAAAACTGCAAATGCGATCCATATGGGAGCGAAGTGATGTACCAACGTGTCACATCTCTTTTTCCCGATAGTAGTAAGACGTTTGCGTTTCATCAAAATGCGATTAAAGTTGGTGTCTCAGAGGAAAGAAGACATCGGTACAGCAATTTACGAACGCAATATAATGGATATTTGCAGTTATTTGGTGTTTACAAGAACACATTTATGCAACTACTTTCACACCATAGCTATGCTAAAAGCCTGGCCTCTGATGTCAGGATATCTTCAGTGTTTACTTTTTGTTTATCCACATATAATAACGAACTGTTTGACGTGGACACTCAGACCTGTTTGAAACCATAAAAAGCAATGGATTACACAGTCAGTGCAAATGTGCCTGAACAGAGTGATCCTGATACATAAAAACTCAAAATATATTACTTTCAAGTGGCAGTAATGGTGACTGACGTTTGATCGTTTTATAATTCGAGGCGCCGTGTTTTGCCAAAGTTTGAAAAATGAATCGCAATAACTGGTTTTTGAACTATGCTTGGGGTTTTATTATTTAGCTCAAGCATAACTCATGAAAGTCATATTAGACATGTTTTTGGAAGCTCTGCGATTTAGAACCGTGAGAAACTGCTTGAACTCAGAAATTGCATGTATAAGAACTGTCTGTGTTGATTTCCGAATAATTCGTAAGAATTTATACGTTTAAACTGAGTATTTCCCATTTCGAATATCAAAGAATAATGCAATGTGTCAGAATAAGTTCCGATCAGAAACCATATTTATCTTTTTTATATTAATATTTTGCCTAGCATTGGTCATCTAGCACAAATGTGACCTTCCTGCCGATGTTTGATGACACTTTTAACGACTAAGTCTGCAAGAGTTTGGAATATTTGCATTGAAGTCATGAATTATATATATATATATATATATATATATATATATATATATATATATATATATATATATATATATATATATATATATATATATATATATATTTATATATATATATATGTATATATATATATATTTATATATATATGTATATATATATATATATATTTATATATCTATATAAGTAAATATGTATATATATATATATGTATCTATATATATCAATATCTATATATATATCTATAAATATATGTATATATGTATATATATATATATATATATATATATATATATATATATATATATATATATATATATATAACTGCGATTTGGCGTGATTGAATAATATCTGGTGTATGAAACAAAGTAACGTGGATGACAGTAACCATTAGCACTATTAATCGGTGCTTCACAGAACGTGCTTGTTTATTAAATTGAAACCGTAAATCAAGTCGTGTGACAGAGCCAGAGTGACTGCATCCTGTACATTAACTCTGTGCTGTTTCTGATAATGTCCATAACGCAGATTTGAAATGGCTGCTGAAAATTTTATGTAAATAGTTATTGTTTGTTTGGGCTTATCGCCATTTTTCAGCACACGATAGGCTATTCATGGCGGCCAGTAATAATGGTGGAGGAAGAAATCGGGAAATCACCGTAAAGAACCACCGACGCACGAGAAGCTACTGACAAGCTTTCTCACATATCCACATTCACCGAATCCGGGACTCGAACCCACGCAAACAGACGTGAGATGGCAATGATCCGTAACGGAGAGAGCTTTAGACCACTAGGCCACTTGGGGTCCATTATTTAAATAAACAGTAATGCATTTTGCTCAGCAATGAATACAGAACTCTTTCCCCATGTCAATTACCGATTTGTTGTTAGTTATGTATGTTCAGAAAAAAAAAACTCAGCTGCAATTTAGTACGATTTTAATATGCTTAGCACTGGCTCACGTGTGTGGGATTTCACACAGTTCTGATTCATGATCGTCCTATTGTGTTATTAAAGATTTATTATTAAGTGCTAAATGGTACGTCTTTGTTAACGATATTTTTTTGTATGATGACGGACACACCTTTTGACGACCTTGATTCAAGCAAACTAATGATGTTTTGGACGAAGTGAGTGCTGGTTACAGCCAAAAGTTGAATACATCCGAATGGGCTTTGACAAAAAAATCGAATTTCTACCACTAAATAAAACAAAAAAAAGAAGTATCGATAAGAGGGCAGAGTTGTAGTACAAACAAAAAATCTTGTAGAAGCTACAATCGATATTATGGTAAAGCAACAAGAAACTGATACAAACAAGCATGCCATGTGACATTTAATTTAGCAAACAATTAGAGGAAATACGATAGACTATTGGGTAGGTAGTTAATAGCAAAAACCATCGAAATACAATTCAACATCAAACGAACAAACATACATTATTTTAAGAATAAGCAAGGCTAAATACACGCAGCAGTTATGTATTTGATCTGCTTAATATCCAGTAACCCGGAGAACGAACCAACGACCTTCGGCATCCGAGGCGGACGCTCTAACCACGAAGCCACCGGAGCGGTTGTTATTGCTCTCTATAATACCTAATAACAACAGCTGCGGTGGCCTAGTAGTTAGAGTGTCCGCCTCGGATGCGGGAGATCGTGGGTTCGATAGCCTGTCGAGTCATACTAAAGACATACAAGATTGGTACTAACTGCTGCCTCGCTTGATGCTCAGCATTAAGTCGTTAGTGTTAGGACTGGTCAGGCTGGTTTTAGCATAATGTGACTGTATTGGACATCATGCTAAATGTCAGCGGTATGATGCCCCAGTGGTTGACATCACTATAAACTGGTACTATGCAGATATCTTATAGAAATGGCTGAACAAACTTTAAAGCTAAGTTAAAAATTATAAAAACTTCACCAATACACAATAACGGAAACTTGCCCAGGATATGATTATGTTCGTCCATCAGAGTCGATGAGAACCATGTATGTCATTCAATTCACTGGGAGTGGGTTTCGTGATGGCTGATCAGTCCAATCTAGTCCTGGAAAATTTTGTTGCTATTGGGACATGTGTGCACAATTTGCTGACTAGGATATAATTAACTGCTGTTTTTAAATTTGCAAAAAGCACGTTTTTCATTTGCTTCCATCAGTCTTTTATATAAGATCAAAGGCTGCAACTGCACCGTGATTTATTAGACTACGCCAAACAATCCAATCAGTAGCGACACTCTCACAGCTATCAGGCTGAAAGCCAAAGTTCTTCAGCGAAGTCTTGAAGTTGTCCTTCTGCATCTTCCTTTTACCACCCTGACATCTCCTGTCTTGTTATAGCTCTCCATAGAACTCAGTCTTAGGTAGGCGTTCTTCTGTCATGCGGACAACATGGCCAGCCCAGCACAGCAAAGAGTGGATACTTTCATGCCGGCCTGAGTGAGAACCTCTTTGTTCATTATCTTGTCCTGGCTTCTGAGCTTGAGCTGATTTCTCAGAGAGCTTAGGTGGAAGTGGTTCAGATTTTTAGCAAAGCGGCTATACGTGCTACTGGTCTAGCAAGCATGGAGATATGTAGGGAGAACAACTGCTGCGTAGACTTTACGTTTAGCTTTAAGAACACAGTCATCTGCAAACGGGAAGTCGCGAATATTGTCAATTTGCTCTTTGGTTTTGGCTTGAGGCCTCTTCAGATTGAACTGACTCCTGACAGGACAGAATCGGCGACCTATTTCAACTTCAATGTATTTAAAAGCATTCATACGCATGGCAGTGAGCATGAGGCTGGCGACAGTGGGGACTGAGAATATTCTTGTTGTTTAACACCATTCGGAACGGCAAAGGGTTTGGAATATTTACCATGTGTCAAATACCTTAGTCAAGTCAACGAAGGAGGTGTATAGATAGTCTTTTCCTTGCTGTCACATTTCCTTCATCTTCCCGGTAGCAAAAATCATGTCGATGGTGCCTTTCTCCATTGTGAAGCCACACTGACTTTCTGCCAGTAGGCCACGATCACGCTACTCTGTGAGTGTCTTTAACAGCAGCCTGGTTAGTGTCGTGTCTTTCTGCAAAGGGCTGAATCTTATTATTGACTTTGACCTGACGACATTACTGATCAACAACACAATCTACGCATTCGTGTATTCCATTCCCATGATTACCTCAACGATTCACATCCATGTAAGCTGTTATTGCTCAATATAATTTTTTTTCAGGTTGGTTGACATCAATTACTACTTAATCGCCTGTATATATGTCATGCCATATAATGATCGTCAGTCTCGAAAACAGCCATTCGTGGCGTTTAAAAATCAACATCAATATAAAAGACGATATAAAATATATTTGACCATTTAACAGCTATTTATAAATATTTGCATTTATCAGAAACCTTCTGAAGAAATTTCGTTTTGTTTTATCTTTATCGTATGCGTGTTTGTATGCTTCATTGAGGGTAAAACCTACCTGATATTTTGCATGATTCCAAAACAAAATCAAAGTGCTTAGTTGAATTTCAGTTCAGGACCAGGTTTTCTTCTATGGTATAATAATTCCTGTTAGGTAAATTTAAACTGGAAACATATAAAAATTGATAAACAACTATTCAATTCCATGGTATGATCAATCGATGAAATTACCTATAGCGGTGTGTAGAAATAATCTAAGATGAATAGTCTATTTAAATTATTAATTGGAATTAAATATCATTTTGAACAATAGTTTCTTTTGAAAATTTGATATGACATTTAACATCATCTGGGACTGAATATATACTAGTATGAAGGTCATCTGAAGTTTTAATCTGAAAATGAAGTTATATTGCATTTTTCTTTCACTTCAATTTTGTTACATATTTGCATGACATAGAGTCGTAACAGCTTAATTTAATGGATAATCAAATTGGAAGTGCACATCACAATATCTGGTCACGTATGGACAGACATCAAGACATCGTCACTAATTTGGTAAGGTCCCAAATAAAGTTGCGTTCACCTTAAAATTAATATGTTACATTGAAAAATATGAATGACATATCAAAAGGTGAAACTTGACTTCGGTGAAAACCAGCATACACAATTAATTAGGTGAATATTAAACGTTTGTTGGGTCTCTTCAAAATTTATTTTCCACACAATTAACAGTAGTAATCTCAGAGTGTTGAACTAAACACATCTTAATTACCTAAGGTGGCCTAAGAAAATGGTACGTCAGTCAGATTAAAACTATATAATTCAGAGGTGAAGGAAATGCATAAAAGTAGTGGATAATATCTAGTTCTTGCAGCGATTTTTACAGCAGAATAGCATTGAGAATTTTCTTGAAAAGATGCTATGAACAAACAATAACATATAGAAACAGAAAATACCTACGCTTAAACAGGAACAAGTCATTGAATATCATCAATAAGATTTCTTCAATTACACAATAGATCCAGCGACGGAGAACAAATCCTGACTTATTGGCATCGGCAAAATGTATTGAACATACTAGTGGTGTTGAAAAATTAAATTGCATCTATGGTATCACGTACACTCGAAACCGCCATTTTTAATTTAGATTTGATGTCATAATTTGCAATTTGTTGGGTTGCAATTGTGCTGATGTATCAAAATATATTTTATTTTGATTCGTATATAATTTCAACATCAATGTAAGTTTTTGACTATTAACCCAACGCGAACATCTGACGTTATATATTTTGATTTATACTGACTGAAACTAGTTTTTTTCCGGGCTATTATATGCTCATCTTTTTGTTAAGTGTTGCATGCACTGAAACCGTATTTTACATTAGAGTACATTTAATGCCATATAAATATGGGTATTAAGAGACCAGGACAAGACAAATCTACAAATTGGAGGTTGGTAAATAATCTCCGGGGTATATGGTATAAAACATGTAACTAATGGTGGATTTTGTTAAGGTGGTGACTTTAAACTATTGATTGACATTGGTATTAATGTATTATCATCTAGGTAAGTGGGCGTCACATTTTTTAAGCTGTGAATCCCGTTCCATGTCGTGTTCAGATGGTAGACCACTCTCAGCCTATCCAATAAATTTGACCAATCGACATTATTATTAGTCCATGTAATCCATGTAAGACATCAGTACGTAATAACCATTTAATATAATAGGATCAATACAGAATATATTGTTCATTACTTAGTTTTTTTATAATTGTTTATGATAATGAAAACTTCGCAAATATGCTATTTGTATTATTTTTGGACCTGCTTGAGGACCCCATGGCAACATGCGATGGATTCCAAAGGTCCACGGACCACAGTTTGATAACCACTGATCAAGGCATCCACTAACAAAAACAGTCTACTGGTAATGATTTAGTAGCACAATGGTCTAAAACCCTCGAATACAAGGGATTCTTTATAAAGGCGAGATCCTAATGATAAGTTATCCAAAACATTTTCCGATGCTGGCGGTTTTAAGATAAATGGAGATTAATTAATATAGATACATGGGGCAAATGGTTCAGGTGATACATTATTTACCTTAATTGGCATTTATTTAATATTAGGTTAGAGTTACATGGGAAAAAAGGGTAATAGTTTGCATTATAACCTTCAGTGATGTGTTTTTTTAAGATTTGGTTATCATTACATATAATCATTTGAATTTGACCTTCGTGGGGCTGTAGTAAGTATGATGGATCGCTGACTAATGACACAACTATTGATAATAATTATGAGTCACTTATCTGCGAATATCTCATTGAATACTACAATATAACCAAACGTTCTTGCACAGTCCAATATAATCTAGTCAAAGATCAAATATAAATCGATAGTTAAAACCACAAAATAAATAGAATTCACCGGAGGAAACCACCCCGCTTACTTTCCCCATTAATTATACTCAACATTGTCATTTTCAAAGGAAATGAAAACATTAGTTTATGATTCTTTAGCAAAACTAAATTTGCTACGGGAACAGTTCATGGGCGAAGAAAGAAAAACCACTCAGGCCTCAGATCACAAAATTGCAACATTTTTGTATATCTTCTAAGCCCATATGTTGTAAAAATTATATAGCCATTGTACCAGCTGGAAAAGGTAATAGTCTCAAAGCGCGAGTAAATGTTGCTCCTAATCAAGGACGGTTGAATTCTTTATAGAGAACCTTAATGGACCGCAATTATATAAAAAACAAATAATCGCAGCGGAAGAACAACTCTAATCTCCATTTTTCCAAACGTCGCGAATAGATTTGAATCCAAAATGACGCGATTTTCAAAATAATAAAAACAGATTAATTGCATTACAGATGTAAATGTCAACACGTGCACATGATAGTATCGTACAGTAAATAATGTCGTACAAAACATAGATTTTCAGCTAAATATCAGATCACATTAACTTCATCAAAGTCATTTTAAGTTTTACAAATGTATGGGAAGTGATTAAACATAACTGGTTAAGACTGTTTAGCATAACAACTAAATTAAAAGAAATGTAATGGTGATATAAATTGTATTAAATTAATAATTATTTCTTTGCGGAGTCGAGTTCTAAAAGCACTAAAAGAAGAGAAACTACAATCTATGTCC